ACAAGAAATGATGGTGAGCCTTTGAATTTTGCACCAGCTTTTTAAGAAGATAATTCAATGATTCTAAAAAATGACCTATTGACAGAACAGATTTAGCTTTCTAGTCTTTTTGTCATTTTCTGTGATTACATATTATAACTTAGGCTACATTTGTAGTACATTCCTTCTCCCTCTTTCTCCTTTTTCTCCCCCATCATTGTGATGAATCTGAACCTTCCATCTCATTTAACTTGGTTTGTCTCTGCATCCTGATTTTGACTTCTACTCAGGATCATTTTGCATGTGACTAAGTCACAGTCATACTTTATGATATGCAAGCCAATACCTCTAGAGAAGCTTCAGTGTTATAATGCTAGATTTCAGTGTGATAAAACAAGATTTTAATCTAGAAAAACCCCACTGAGAAATGCAAGATTAATTTCCATTATGCATATTTAATTTTTGTGTCTTCTCTGTAGTTGTAAAAATTATTAGTGTTGTATGATAAAATTCCGTTTTTAAATGATGAATATCTATATTAGTTTGGAGGTAGAAAGAAACATTTTCATTTGGACCATTATAGATTTAAAAAAAATATCCTCTAATCAGTTTTTAAGATCTAGTCCTTTGCTGAAACTATGTAATAGAAGACCTATGTTTTCCAGTTGTTCTTATCTTTACAGGAGGATTTAAATCCTTGTAAAGATTTGCTTTTTTTTTTGGTCATAATATCAGGATAAAGTAAAAATATTTTCTTATTGCTCTCACCTAATATTTATAACCTTTTTTGAAATGTGCTGATGGTAAAGGGGTTTTGAGGGAGTGAAGTAAGCACAAAAGATTTTACGTTTTGAAAGCCCAGGGCGTTTTTTTTTTTCGTGTGTTAAATATATTTTCATTTACTGGAGTTTTTTATATTAGTTGAAAATTCCTGACCAAAAATTAGTGCTCAGTTATGTGATTTATATCACTTAGTATTTTATTTTCATAATTTTACAAATGAACTATATTTCCTGTCTTCCAAATGTGCTCTTTTCTAATCTCCATTTCCTTGAGAAGAAATTTTTATTATAATGCCTTTTCCAATTACTTCTTTGTACCTTATTCCAAATTACTTATGTGATTTGCAGGAATATTTCTTTAAAAGTTGTAACTTTATCGTCATTTTTAGTTCAAAGAATAAAATGCAAGATATTTCAGGGAACTTGATTTGGAATAGATGCCTATGTTTATTTTGAGAATTTGAGTTCAGAAGTAAATTGAAAAGGAAAAGTGATTATTTTAGAACAGACTTACTAGATGAGTTAAATGTCTTTTGTTTATCAAAATTTCTATTAACTTTGAGAATTTACATTTCTCCAACCTTCCTTTAATGCTTGTCATTGGCCTTTTTTTTATAGTACAGTGTTGTTTTAGTTATTTTAGTTTGTATTAATCATGCACACTTTAGAGAAGAGTTTCATAATAAATTACAGAGTTAAGTGAAGTATATATGTAGGACCTGGACAATCAAACTGTTTAGTGTCACAAAGTAGTAGCCAGGGTTGCTGTTTGGGCCTTGGCCTGATTACCACGTGTCCTGGGTGACATGTTCGAATCAGCAAAGTTGTAATTTCAAAAAAGAAGTGGTTAAAAAGTGTTGTAATTATTCTTGGAATTGTTTTGCAGAGTAAGAAGCGACAATATGACCAAGAGATTGAAAATCTAGAAAAACAACAGAAACAGACAATAGAACGCCTAGAACAAGAACATACAAATCGCTTGCGAGATGAAGCCAAACGTATTAAAGGAGAGCAAGAGAAGGAACTGTCCAAATTTCAGAACATGTTGAAGAACCGAAAAAAAGAGGTAAAAGTGCAAATGTTTTGATTTGCTGAAGCAATTAGTTGAAAGCTTTTCATTTAATACTTATGCACAGAATTAGTACAATATTTGAAAACTTTTGAAGAAGTTAGTTTTTAAAGTGAAAATATCAAGTATATGACAATGATGATAGTCTTTACAGATTTAATAACGAATATGAATGTTCTTTGTCAACTTAAGTTTTTTTTCCTCGATTAACTTGATTCCTTTTCTTTCTTGAAAGGAAGCGTAGAGATGCTAATGTTCTAAGATACTCTCAGATGATTTCATTTTTCATTGAGGTGTTTCATTCTGTACTTTCATGTCAGAGGATTCACCTTTACGTAATGTGTGAGGTCTGGTATGTTGATTATTATTAGTTTTGTCGATTTGGATGAAAAACCCTTAATTAACTCAAGTTGAACATTTTTACTAAAATATGTAGTTGATCTCCTTATTCTTTTCCATAAAATTATGAAGAAAATTTTCATGCCACTGAATCTTAAAGACTTGATTTTAAGATGAACAAAGCCAGAAAGCTTAGAACTAAAGGTTTTCTGATGCATTGTGAAAGGAATTAAAATTTTGTCAGTTTTGTGTTTGGAACAGTAGCCCATATTGTTGTGTGTCAAAGAAATTGTTTATGTACTAAATGATGTGTGTGTATGTATATACACACACTTTTTTGGCTGCATAATAATGCCTTTTTATAAAATTCATCTATTCAAGTTAATTAAGATACTTTAAAATCTAAAATGTTATTGTTTTTTCCATTGATGCTTGCTTATTTCACTTAAGCCTATTTGTAAAAATCAATATATTACTCTTACTGTTATGGGGCTTATGAGTTGTTGAAAGTGTTTGGATAAACATTCATACAGTTTTTTTTTAACAATGTTATATGTATTTTTTTCTTTTTCTTGTTGCTAAACTTCTTGCATTTGGGGAGTTTCTTCTTTTTATTGGTGATTGGGTCTTGGGGAAAATGGTGGGAATTTAAAATATACTTTGTTAAATCAAAAGCAATCTCTTTAACAGAACATCGGTAGCATGTGGTGATTTGGAGTCTGTTTTCTGTGGGTGCTTTTATACATGATCATTTAGTTTTCAAAGTGGTATTGAAGATTTATGGTCAGAAGGCGTACACATCTTGGACTCTGAAATGATTACATGAAGGGGTTAAAAAGAAATGGAATCAGTTAATGATTATTAACCTTCTGGTGTACTGAATCACAACAATCTGTTTCCTAACAATCTGTCAGTTTTTTCAATGGTGCTAATATTTAGTAGTTTTTCAGTTACCCATTTTGTTATGTTTGGCTTAAGTATGTAACATCAAAATTATTTTTTTAACAAATAGAATACTGGTTGTTTTTGCACAAAATCATCTGCTGTGCTGCTTTTTAAAGCACTTGATATAAAAATGATGTATTGTACTCCTAAGATTTGATATCTTTTTGGGTATGCTAAATGTGTTTATATTAGAAATTATTCCTTTGTAATTCTCAAGCCAGACATGACATTTAGTATTTTTATAAATGGCAACTTATCTTTCTTATAATTTTCCAAATTGTTTTATAAACACCTTTCTCATTTTATGACTATTTCAAGAGAATCAGTTGAAACTATCACTTTAATGTAGCTTCAGTGCTGATGGTGATAGTTTTATCAACTGATTGTCTTTGAAACATGTTTAAGAAAGAAGGTGGTCTATAGGAATAGCTGAGCACTTAGTTAACTTTTATTTGGTGTAAAGTTCCTTTTTGCACTCTGGTGAAGCATGTTCTGTCCTTTCCTTCTTTTTTGCCAAACTAACACCTTTGCAAATGCATGTTGAAAGGGAGCTTTTTAACTACTTTGATAATTGACTTTTAGCTTATGTGCTCACGTAACTGCTTGCTGTGGAGAAAGTATTATTTCCCCACCTCCTGCATGCTTATACACTGTAGGTTATAAATGAAGTGGAGAAAGCACCCAAAGAGCTGAGAAAAGAGCTCATGAAACGCAGGAAAGAGGAGCTTGCACAAACCCAGCATGCTCAGGTAACAGCAGCAGCTTAATGCTACTAAAAACAGAAAGCAGTGTTATTCTCACAGCTTAATAAACTTGTTTGTGAAGGGATTCATTTTAACTGCAACTAATATTTTATATTAATTTGTCCCCAGAACATTTTATTGTGCAAACTTTCATGCTGATACTTAGATTTAAGTTGAAATTGTGTTGAATATTTGGAATATCATTAAGAAAAGTAAATTCTGGAAATTCACAGCTGCCAAATAATTACACATATGTAATCTGCATATTAAATATCACAGAAACTTAATTTATAGGCAGTAATTCCTGTTTTTAAGGAATACTCTTATGGTTGTGCAATACATGAAGCTTTGAGTCTTTGAAATCAGATCTATAAAAATGTCATTGCTTCTGTGCAGTTTTCTCAGAATCCAAGCAATATTAGAAAGTATATCAAGTACCTATTTTCAGCTTGACCAAACAAGTGGTTCTTATATTCAGATTATAAATACTAAGTATGCTGTTCTTCTGTTATGCCGAATTATGAAGTGTAAGTAATCTAATAGTCAAGAATAGAAACACTACTTTCTTTGCCAAAGGTGAAATCAAGGCCTCTTGCTCTTGATTTTAAGTAGTAATAAGGCTGGGTTGATTTAGATAGGTCATTTCTTACATTTTGACTGCCTGTGTTTAGAAGTAAGGATAGAAAAATTAGTCATGGAGTCACAGAATCCTAAGGCTGGAAGGGACCTCATTGGTCATCATCACTTGCCTAAAGCATAAATTCCCCTTCTTTGCTATCTATGACATATGATTGAGAATAGTCATTTTAAAGTTATCAGGGATATTGAAAGAAAGAAGAGGTGTTGAGAATAGAAAACAATAGATAATCTGATAATCATTTAAATGTGCCTTTGGAATATGGTCTCAGTCATACAATCATAAACAGATATTTCTTTCTAAGCTCAGCAGTAGGAAGTGGTTATAAAAGTATAAAAATCAAAGAGCTGGAAAGGATTTGAGGGATCAAGATGTTCAACCCCCTCATTTTACAGATGAGGAAACTAAGGTCTAGTAAGGTCAAATAATTTTCTCAAGGCCATATGAAACCCTTCATTTGTATTACTGATACATTTTTAGGGAATTTCCTTCTTTAATGTTCTCACCTAGGAGGTGCATTGTATTCTGATTCACAGGGTGTTGCTCAGGTTATGATTCAGTCTTTTCAGTTGTCATCTTGCACACTCTTCAACGCCCAAATGCAGGATGTAAGTCCCAAAAGCCTGAAGGATGGCTTCTTCTGGTTTTTTTTCTTCTCCCTTTTTCTTTGACTCACATGTGCTTTCACTGATTTCACTAATGGTTGCTGTAGTGAAATCAAGAAAAATTACATTTAATAGTACTTTAAATTAGTAACTGATTTTTCATAATGCTTTGATATACATTTGATCTTTTATAATAACCTTATATTGGGAAAGTATTTATTATTCCCATTTTAAAGTTGAAGAAACTGAGGCATAGTTAGTCAGTAAACATTAAGCACCTGCTGTGTGCCAGACATTCTTCTAAATACTGGGGATACAAAGAAAGCCTAAAATCATATAAAACATCAGTTGCTGAGCTAGGACTTGCATATAAGTCCCCTGATTCCTAGTTCATTGTGCTTGATGCCACCCCATTCTGCTTCAGGTTTAACAGTTTATTAATGATTCCTCATAAAAAAGAAAAAAACACATTCATGTTAAAATTATGAATTCTGCACATGTGAGCATTTGGGTGGTGTGGTTATTTTTTCTTTGTGTGAAGTGACATTTTGTGTTCTGTATTTTAAAAATATGGGTGTGGTCAGAAAAGCCAGTGTAAAATGGCACCTTTAATCCATTTTTCTCTACTTCCTGTTTGTTCAGTTATGCAGTAGTCCAAACTATAACTTATCTATACGACATGTAAATTAGCTGTGCAATATCATCTAAGCTGTTTTTTTCTCACAGCCTCCAGAGAAAATTTACCAACTAATTTGACCCCACAATATTTGTTTTTGATGTTTGATGTTTATAACACAAGTGAAAAGAAGGCAGTTTGATTTTTCAGAAACCGAGGCTTATCTTTTGATTATTTTTCAGTTATAAGGACTTTTATTTAGAGTTTTTCAACAGAATAAGCAAAGCATGGATGTTTTTAAGAGAGAGGAAAATTATGACTCCCTATTACTTTTCTGATCATGACCATATATTTTAGCCGTGTACTTCAGTAAAACCACAAACTATCTGGAAGAAATAGGTAAAATATCTATTATTCAGTGTTCCTTTTTTGCCAAAATTTTTGATTACCAAGTTATATTTTTAATCTCTAAGGCTTTTCTTTCAGTGTAAAGATAAATACTTTTGTAAGGGTGGGACATATCTTTTTAAACCAAGGTTCATTTTGCAGTTTTAATGTGTTAGTATTTTGCTTTTCTTCGGTGGTATTATATTTGTCACTAACTTAGATTCTTTAGCTGCCCTCTTTCTTGTGATTCTCTTTTCTTAATAAATCCATCTGCCCTCAAAAAAAGACTGTAGATTAACCTATCCTGAGGTTCTTTAGAGATCTTTGCATTGACTGTCTTTTTCTTATTTAAGAAACAGTTATCATTCAGTTATTGTCAGGGAGTGGGTAAATTACATATTCTACTTGAAATTATGGATTCCTTCTCCCCTTCTATCTTTTTTGTTTTCAAAGTTGTTTTCTTTACATTGAGAACCAACTCTGGGTACTTCTTTAAATAAATCCCTCTACATTACTGTATTTTTATCTTCCTTGATTCCTAAAACTTTCAATGTTGGATGAATTATCTCAGGGCTTTACCTAGATAAGCAAGTTTGAGTAGATAAAATCTACTTTATTGCATTGCATTGCACAGTTATATACTTTATAGTTGAATTGTATCCCCAACCCAAGGATCCAAATATACATTATGAGCATTGATTTATTTCTGACAAATTTATTGCTAAGGGATTTAAATCCCCAGTTTTACTGGTAAAACTTGTGTAACCGAAAAGTCAGGTGAGCTATTTTAGATTATTCAATGAATGCCCACCATGGGGAATGTAACTCAGGATTCCTAACTTATGTAAAGTTTGAAATTGTTTTGGTTAAGAGTTACATGTATAAAATCTTTTACAATATACTCTGGTTTAGTTGTCAAAGCTATAGTGTATTTACCATAGCATTATTATTAATAATTGACTTTATGAATGGATTTTTCAAAGAATTTCTTAACCAAAGTAAAACTTTCATTTCTGTTAAGGGTAGGATTCATGTTAATCATAGTCATACCTATTCATCTTGTCTTTCCAACATTCTTTCTAACTCATCTAGCTTCTTTTGGGATACTTTTCAGTGCTAGAAGCCCACTTTGAAACACAGCCTGTTATATTTTTGGAAATCTCTTATAGTTAGAAGGTTCTTTCTTTTATTGAAGTTATATTATTTTACTTCTCTGAACTAAAATCTTCATTTACCTCAATTTTTCTCCAGATGGCATCATTTCTAGATCCTTTACCATTTTGGTTGCCTTCCCTGGACACTCTAGTTTATCAGTTTTCATTTTAAAATGTGCTTAGAATTGAACATTATGTATCAACTTGTAGTCTGACTAACAGAATATAGGGGAACTATGCTATCCTTTGATTTAGACGTTATATAATGAAGCCTGAGATTAAATACATTAAAAATTATTTTTAAGTAGCTATAATACACTTTTGGGCTTATATTAAGTTTGTTTTTAAGTAAGGTATCTAACATTTATTTTTGCATAAATTGCTTTTGAGCCATGTCTTTCCCATCATATACTCATAACAGTCCAATTTTTAACTTAAATTTGGAATTTTGCTTTTATATCTGTTGACTTTGGCCTTTGATTCTGGTCTTTTGTGCCATTCATTATACTAGCTAGCACCTTTCCTACTTTTATGTCATTGGTAATTTTGATAAATTTGCTTTTTATGTGTTTGTCCAAATCATTGATGAAAATGTTGAACAAAAGACCAAAAAGTGATCCCTTTGACATTTGTGCTAGAGACTCCCTCCAAGCTGACAGTAATTCTACTAATAAACATATCTCCATGGAGACCTAAATTTGAATAGATGAACAGAGAGATAACTTATTTTCTTGACTACAAGTAATTGATCACTTGGGTTTTACCATAATTTTTAAAAGCTAACATTGTTTATTTAGTCAGTCAGCAAACATTTATTAAATAGCTACTATGTGCCAGGCACTGAGTTGATTTACAAGCCTTTTCTTTTTACTGATATGATTATAAATATGGTATTTTATGTTTATGCCAAATTATACAATTGAGGTCACCTAGATAAAAACAACTTATCTGTTACTTTTACCTATTTAAAAATTATAGGTAATCTTAAGGCATTTTTAAAAAGTTAAATATTTTAAAAATTATTTATCTTAAAGGACAGAGACTTTTTTATTCTTTTTTTTCAGTTCCAAATTTTTTCCCCTGCTCATTCCACTCCCTCAGTCACTGAGAAGGCAAGAAGAACAAAACTCATTACAAATATTTATAGTCGTGGAGAACAAATTTCCACATTAGCCATGTCCCCCCACTTCTCCCCCCCCAAAAAAAAGAAAGAAAAATATGCTTCATTTTGTACTCAGAGTCTTATCAGTTTTCCATCTGAAAATGAATTGCATGTTTCAAGATGAGTACTTTGGACTTGTGGTAGGCCATTGTGTTGATCAGAGTTAGTAAGTCTTTCACAGTTGATTATCTTTGCAGTATTGTAACTGTTTAGATTGTTCTTCTAGTTATGCTCACTTTACTTTGCATCAGTTCATATGGGTCTTCTCAGATTATCTGGAAAAAAATCCCCTTCATCATTTCTTATAGCAAAATATTATTCCATCACCTTCACATATCATAACTTCTTCAATCATTCCTCAGTTGATAGCTACCCACTCAGTTTTCAATTAAGTGCCTGTACAAAGAGAATTGCCATAAATATTTTTGTACATATGGGTCCTTTTTATTTGATTTCTTTGGGGTATAGACATAGTTGTGGTACTGCTAGACCATAGGGTATGCCCAGTTTAATAGCTTTTTGGTCATAGTTCCAAATTTTTTTTTCCAGAATGGTTAGATGAGTAGTTCATAGCCCTGCCAACAGTATATTAGAGTACCTGTTTTTCCACATCCCCTGCAGCATTTGTCATTTTCCGTTTTTTTCATCTTAGCTAATCTGATGGATGCGAGGTAGTACCTCAGAGTTGTTTTAACTTGCAGTTTTCTAACTCTTAATGATTTAGAGCATTTTCTTTTCATATGGCTATCGATAGTTTTTCTTCCTCTGAAAACTGCCTATTCATGTCCTTTGATAATTTATCAGTTGGAAAATGGCTCTTATTCATATAAAATTGACTCAGTTTAATATAGTTTAGAACTGAGGCCTTTATTAGAAAACTTGCTGCAAAGATTCCCCCCCTCCCCAAGTTTTTAATGTGTTTCCTTTAATCTTAGTTGCATTAGCTGTGTTTGTGCAAAAACTTTTTAATTTTATGCAGTCAAAATTAATCCATTTTACCTCCTGTGAACCTGTCTCTTGTTTGGTCAGAAACTCTTTTCCTGTCCATAGATATGAAAGGTAATTGTTTCTCTGCTCCACTAATTTGCTTATGATATCACCTTTTATGTTTGAATCATGCATTCATTATGATCTTATTTTGGTATACAGTGTGAAATGTTAGTATATGTCTAGTTTTTACCAATCTACTTTCCAGTTTTTGCAACGGTTTTTGTTACATAGTGAGTTCTTGCCCTGATAGCTCAGTTTATCAATCATAAGTCATTTTAAAAAATGCTCTTAACAGAGTAGCATTAAGTCAATCACAGGGAATTAATTCTCTGCCTCAAAATTTCCATGGCAAGGCAGATTTCCCCAGTGAACTTTAACTCATTCACCCCAGGCTGGTCTGATTTTGGCTGAAACTCAGTGAATCTAGATTCTAGGTCATGCCAGACTTGGACCATCCTTAATCCAAGGGGCATATCTGATCCAGGGGTTCCTATCTATTTTCATGTGAACAGGTAGGGGCGCGCGCGTGCGCGCGCGTGTGTGTGTGTGTGTGTGTGTGTGTGTGTGTGTGTGTGTGTGTGTGTGTTTTCATTAGTCAATCTAACAGGTCTCCAAACCTACATGATATTGTAATTTAGCATAGCCTTCTTGAAGAGACTAAGTCATTTGGAATCCTTCTAAGAGCCAAAGCCTTATAGTAACGTTGTAGAGTTGTGTGTTTCATTTATCAGTTGAGGGCAGGTAACCCTTAATCTTATTCTTTCTTCCTAATTCTTCAGGAATGATGTGGTGGGCCTCAAATCATCATTCTTGACACATATCTAAATGGCATCTATATCAATAAAAGGCTAATCTCTTAATTAATTTCTTGCTAACCATTGCTTTTTTAGAGAAAAAAGTTTTAAAATTAGCCTTTTTTTTATTAGATGTATAAA